ATGTCCACTTTATTTTAGAGAATCAGTTTGGATGACTTTATGTTCATGAATATATTCAAAGGAAAAAATGCACTGGTTCATTTGAGGTATATCATTTTATGCTTTTTTGTTGCAAAATTAATTTGCTAATTGATTTCTACACAAAATATGTATCCAAGTAAATTAAATTTAAGTCAATTAAATGAGTTTGTTTCTAGTTTTATTAATTGTATGTTGCGTAAATAAATGTGTTTATTTTAATGCTGTCACCCTAATTGAGCTCCTCAATTTTTCTTAAAGGGGTCCCTTGCGGAAAAGTACTCAAAAAGAAAATGTATTACTGAAATAATGTACTTAAGTGCAAACTGAATATGTTTTTTAAACGATTATTAATTACTAAAATACATTTTAATGCCATTTCTGTTGAAACTTGTGTCATTTATTTGCATATATACATAGGATTACATATTTGTTACACATTACACAAGTTCCCATTCAGTACATTTACTAATATTAACTTTAGATATTTTCAAATAACACTACAGTTAAAAGTATAGTCATGCACTTTCATGTACTTTAGTATGTTTGTCAACACATCAGAGTAAGTGTACTTCTTTAAAGCTTTACAAAAGTTTATTAAAACAATGATTTAGTAAAACTTTTGATTTGACAAGTGCATTTTTTAAAAGTGTACTTAAGAAACATAAGAAAGTGCACTTTAAGTACACTGAAGTGGCCTTTTATTTCATTTGTATTACGGTATATTATCTGCAAGTACAGTTTAAAAAATATATATAAATACTTATTTTGAAAACACTACAAGCACTAGTTTATACCTTAAATTATCAATTAGCATGTGTTTTAAACTAGATTGAAATTAGCTTCCCCAACACTGGTCCTTATAAGGTTTCTTGTAAACAGAGACGGAGACAAATTGATATGGTGTGTGTGTGTATGTCTGTTCCTGCATGTTCAAAATGTTTTTCTTTTGAACCTCTTGTCTGAGACTCAACTGTTGTTCATTAATTGTTAAAGCGTTGCTGTTTTTTTTGCCACAGCACCACAATTAACAATGTATTTTTAAAGGCTTATTTAATTTAAGAAGTGATTACATTCTGATTTCTCCAGTGGCGTTGTTCAAATATTACTTTTTTTATTTTTGATTAATGAACAAGTCCCACATCAGTGTCAATATATACACTAATTACAGCATCAAAAGCGGCAGGCGGTTCTCTGAAGGAAAGATATACACTGAGAAATCTGATTGGATTTGCCTCAGCCTTAAAGTCTCATTATTTTCTCCCTGACATCACTGAAAGGTTGAAGTATTAGATACATACACAAACATCCATATGGTTCCCAGTGGTTGTGGTGAAGATAGGTGAAGGAGATAAAGAAAGAGACAGATAGAGAGAGAGAGACAGTCATGTCCCCTGCTCCTAAATAATTGTGTTCCTAATCTCTTTCAACTGGAACCAATTTGGCTAATAATCCTGTTAGAGGAGCAGACAAACACACGCACACACACACTTACTCTTGACTGGGACCTCAGCCTCCTCTGCAGGGGTGCATGGTGAGGTCTTCATATAAGGTCTTGATTAAGAAGACAATGTATGGAAGCTCTACATGGGAATATAAGTAATAAGTGCATTGAGTAAACTGCAGAGTGCCTGCTTCATTGTGGTCAAAGACTGTTTGTTCAACCAACTGCAGGGGTTAATTTTCCAGTGTTTTTCAAACATTGGACAATGAAAAGTGAGTGTCACAGTCGGTGTGAGGCAGCAGCACGAGCTGGAATGAGGAATGGACGAGAGTTGGATTCTTGGATCAAAGTTGGATCAGTTATCTGGCCCACATCAGTCAGATTTATAGATGTTCCCTTCCACTCCCTCTTCTCATGAAGTGAATCATTTGGCCAGCAAACTCAAACAACCTGGTCCAGGGTTTAATAAATGTATACAGTACATATATATTTCTATCTCTTCCACAGGTGGAATTCTCCAAGTGCTCCAGATGCTCAGTCTGCTGCTGGGTTCCATCCAGATTCATCCAATTTTCTTGGTAAAAATGAAAATGAGAAATCCTCAAAACTGTTCATGCTGCAGGTGATTCTTGTAGACAGAGTCAGGAGGGAATGAAAAACAGAAAGTATATGTTGCATTTCCTAACCCAAATTTATGTTTGCTCTTACCCACTTGCTCAGCAGCATTGGTTCCATATGCATTTTTTTCCATCCCCAATAATTTTTCCCATAGAGATTTTAAAAAGTCTTTGTTAAAGATATTGGTGTATGCCATGAACCAAACCAACCAGCTGTGAGGTGAATCACAACATTACAATCCTTGATTTGAACCAATATGTTTGTGTATAAAAAAGTATGAAAAACATTGCTAATTATATAATCCAATTGAAAATGAAAAAAAAATAAACAGCTATTGTTTTAAATATGTTGATTATAGATCCAAAAACAAACCATATACACACATATTTAAGTAGTTGAAGCTTCAAGGGAGTAGGTGGCGTAATACTAAATTCTGCTTTTAAACATGACTCAACGAAAGCATATACCATTAATTCACATCATTGTAGCTCACAGTAGGTCTGTTTTTAAAAGGCTTATAAATTTTCGTTAAAAATCCCCTATATGGTGAAAATAAATGGGACTTTTACTTTTGTAACCTGGCTTTTTGGTGAGTACGTAAACTACTATACAGCTTTAAAGCTGTAATAAGATGTTCTGATGAAACTGTGCTGAGGAGATACTGCTCAAATAATATTTCTTCACACATTCCAATGATGTTTGTCTCTTTATATCTATTGAACATTCTGTGTGCCTGCTGATTTTTCACTCCCGAGCAGACAGAGGCCCCAGGACACTGGTCTTATTGGAATAATCCACCCTTGTCCATATCCCCTGACCTTTGAGCTTAAGGTCAGCACTGGGACTTTAGGAGAGAATGCAGAATGATTTTGTGGCCCAGAGCAGTGAAGACTAAAAAACCTGTGCAAGTAACTATCCATTTTTTGTCCTTAGCACAATGTTTATAGCCAATATAGTGTAATATAATTCAGAATACAGCAAAATGAAGATTTTCTGGGAACCATCTGGGAGAGTCTGTAGGGCAAAGCTGGCCCTAAAGAACCAGCAGCGTTCCCTTGGGCCAAATATTGTATGTGTGAAAGGAATTGCTCTTGCGATTTCTCAGACAACAGAGCAGACTTAGCTATTTGACCACCAGGCCACACACACACACTGATCTAATGAAGAAGAATAGTCAGAAAGCAGGGAAATACAGGCTGGCCTGTAGTCACGGGTGGTAAATGAAGGCAGGCGGCGGATGTCGATTTGCAAGATCTTATCCTCAAAGCGCAAAGGACAATTTTCCAAAAATGCCACATCGTTTGAAGTCACGGGACATTAACTATTTCATACAAAGACGGTAAAAATGCAGTAGAAAAACAGCAATTCATGGCACGGAGCTTATGACACCAGGGGTGGTGTTGCAGTAAGTCTGTCAACTTATTTTTGCAGGAATATACAGTATGTGTGGATATGTGTATTTATCTGTCATTGCAGTCAAAATATAGAGAATGCAGCTTAAGTATTTCAGCACGGCTCCTCAGATCAGTGTGCAGAAGATGAGATGTTTCTCCCTGATGCTGACTTTCGTAGACCTGTCTACAGTTTCCACAACAAAGGAAAATAGTGCTTGCGGTTTTAACATGGCACTTCTCCCCTATGCTACAGTATGATACCCTTCTATTCTCAACCAGTGAAGAAAGAGAAAGAGAATGTAAGAATGACAGAGTGATATGGCTTGATATAAACTGTTACTGTGAAGTGCTGCCAAGATATCTTGATGTTGAGTAAACTCAAATTAAGCTGAATAAATTTATGGTAATCTAAAGTGAGACTTGGATGAGGATCAAACTAGTTTCAAATTCCAATCTGATTGGCTGGCTTCAAATAAATAATGGGAACTTATTAAAATAATCAGTGTTTATTACTTTAATACTGAAGGATATTCTCACTAAAGAGCCAATACGCATTTTATTTGTTTATTAACTGTTGGATAGCTGTGCCATTATTTGAGCTACTATTTTGCTGCATTACAGTCTATTGTTGAAGTTTTACTGATTTCAAATTTACCCTCTCCCTAAATGTCACAAAAAAGAAGAAAATAAATGATGGTCGATCAGATTTCACTCCGCTTTTTTGTGTGTCTTTCAGACATACTGTCAGTCTGTGTATGAGTGTATTTTTTTCTTGACTCTTTTTGCAGATTACATTGTTATGCCATTCCGTCTTTATGAGAAAGTCGTTGAATCACTTACTCAACCAAATAGATTTTTTCAGATATAATCACGAACAAAACAATACTAGTAGTATACTGTGCATTGCTCGGAGACGCCCAACTGTTTCCTCTGGTGGAGCAAAAGTAACTGAAATATGTCCAAAATGTAAGTTATGCCAATGCTATCTCATGACCAATTTGTATGTATTTTACAAGGTGACTAATTCGTATGACCTCACTTGTTCAATTTTGTTTGATTTGTCTATACCCAGTGATGGGCAGGTTTAGAAGCGGGGTTAGGGTTAGGTCATACGGACGAATTCGTACGAATTGGGGAACTCGTAAAATATGTACGATTTAGCAAAAATCACTCATGTGTGTTAGACACCTTGTGAAATATATCTGAATTGCCATGAGATCGGGTTGGTTATTCAATTGAATATTTACTTATTGTTTAATGAACTGTTATAAATGTATTCAACAGGGATAGAAAAGTCCCAGTACAATTGTGACGAGTGGGGGCGGGGCCAAGAGCCGTGGGTACGGAGCGAGGCCGGTGGAGTAATTGATAATGAGCGACACCTGCACCACTCACCGGTCTCGAGTCCCACGGAGGAGCTCCGGAAGGATAAAAGGAGGAGTGACGACAGTGAAAGACGACAGAAGTCCAGGCCTGGTCCTCTCTCGTCTTTCACTGTCGTAATTCCTCCTTTATACCTCGAGACCGGTGAGTGGTGCAGGTGTCGCTCATTATCAATTACTCCACCGGCCTCGCTCCGTTCCCACAACTCTCGGCCCCGTCCCCACTCGTCACAACAATGTAATGCGTTTGACTTGACTTTCCCTCCAAACGATTGCACTGAAAGTAACATCCGCCACAGTCCTAATATTTTGTTCTTAATTTTCAGTTCTGACTGCTAAACAAGTGTTATTTTTGATTTGATAACTTAATCACTCTCTAAAACGTGTGATGTAAACAAGATCCGAAACCAAATAGCATAGTAATGTTTGAAATGCTTATCGTTACATAAGGTGAATTGTTTCCACATGCTATTATACTGCACCTTAAATAGTTAACAGTAGGTTAACATTCCGTTCTGATCACCTTTTTTTACAGTGAGCTCCTGCTGTGATGGTGTAGACAGTATCTACTTTGGTCCTTTTCCTAAGACTATGATTCATCATGTCCACAAAGGCTCAGTTACTAAATTCCAGGCTCAGGGAAAACACCAGTGACTATCACAGGATAGTAACAAAGCCAAACGAAATGAGCTCAAACAAAGGATTTACCAGTTATAAATTATAATATAATTCATGGGCCCCCCATGATCATCAAGGCCTTGCTCTTTTCCTCATTAGCCAAGGTCCTGTCTGTTAGTGTCCTCCCTGAAAGCCCTTTAGGCTGGAAAAAGTCATGGGAAAGGGAAAGTGCTGGAAAAGCAGGCATGATAAAAAGCAGCGGGCTTGCTAATTAGCTAAAGTAAGAGTAAGTAAGTGTGTGCAGGTTGGATGATTGCACATGCTCGGATGGCTTCTTTCCAAAATGAGGCCTTGGGTCTGAATTTAACACAGGCGTGACCCTCCTCCCCTTTTGGGCTTCGAGCATTCCAAGACGGTGAGGAGACCATGTACCCTCTGAGTCTCTCTGCCCCTGGATGTTCTCCAGAACTACTGAGGTGCTTATGAGCCGGATCTCCTCTTCCTCCCGCTCTCTCTTCCTCAGAAATATTTTGGGTCTCTGATCTGACATTACACAGACATAACCACACAACATACCTGAAAAAGGCAATACTAGACCAGTCCTGCCCCCCAACCTGAATTGATATTTCTGTTGTGTGTGTGTTTTCCTCTGAGGCTGTTCCCAGTTATGTTTCACAGAGTGTTACATTTTCACAGAACAAAGGCACATGGGATAAATTGCATCCCTCCTGTTCCAATGTTCTAATGAATGAAATGCTTGTTAAGAGGAAAAAAACATCCACCTCCACATCCTTCCCCTCTGTGCTGCAATCACACTTCTTTAATATATACAGTGTGGTCCAAACGTCTGAGACCACATTCAAAATCTAATTTGAAGCTGTAGGATTTAAAAAAAAAAACATTACACCATAATACATAAAATATAATAAATACATTTCTGAAATTCATTAAAATTTTTCAATTTGACTTTTTACTCAAATTTATGCTAATAATATAAAATATGTTAGATAGTAGGTCTATATATATAGAGAGAGAGAGAGAGAGAGAGAGAGCGAGAGAGAGAGAGAGAGAAACTGAGATAAAGGGATAGCTCACCCAAAAATGAAAATTCTGTCAACAGTTCATGGTAGCCATTGTCTTGAGAGTATAGAAAAAATACTATGAAAGTCAATGGGTATCATCAACTGTTTGCTTACCTACTTTTTTCAAATTATCTTCTTTTGTGTTCAGCAGAAGAAAGTAAGTTGTACAGGTTTGGAACGACATGAGGGTGAATAAATGATGAAAGAATTTTCATTTTTAGATGAACTGTCCCTTTAAGGCTGCTAGAGAAAAGGAAGGAGAAAAAATAAGGACGAAGAGAATGACAAAATCAGAAATAGAGGCATGTGACTGCTTTTGGATACACTGCAAAAAAAAACAGGTCTGAGAGAGATGCGCTTGATGTTTCTGACTGTGATAATGAGCTGTCATTAATATCTACCTTCTCCCTGCTGTCCTCCTCTCATTATCATAATTATGCTTGTACTTATTTCTCCCATCTACCGACATCCCAGTACCAATGAATTTTTTTTCCTCTCTCTGTAATGATGGTTCATTTTCCTGGGAGTGTGTAGTGTCTGATGAGGCCCGGCTCATGAAACAAGCTGCTGTCATTTATCCACATCTGAGTGTGTGACTCTGTTTAGAGGACGTGCACACAAACCACACACACTCGAACATTTTGGGGCAACTGAAACCGTTGGGAGTGTTATCACGAGGATAGCACAACAACAAGGACACCAGCACGCTGCTAAAAACTACATGAGAACAGAGCAGATGACAAAATGACAGCAGTGCTGATTGCAGTGGAAAGAGTTTTATTCCCAATTCAGTAAAAATTCTGATTTGCTGTTCCATTTTAAAATTCCAATGAAATAAAAGTAAAATCACTTGGAATTATAGACTAGTCAGACTATTAAAATGTTTGCAGACACTCACATAATAAGTGATTAATATTCAGGAAAGGCATCTAGCCAAACATTTCACCATCAATATTATCCTTAGTTAGCAGTCATTCTCAGTCTGTGTTTGAACAGAGTGTGCTCGATGTTATTCAAATATCCTATTTTTTGCCGAGGAGTGCATGTGTTGGAACAGCCAATTATATATTTTGCCATGTAATATATTTGTAATTCAGTTCACTGTGTTTTTGCAGAGAAAGGAGGCCCGTGTTTGCAGAAAGCCTGAAAAATAGAAATTTCCTCTCTGGATTCAGAACACAGTCCAACTGCACTAGTTGCAGAAACGCTATTACAATAAAGAAACAGTAAACACCTATGATGTTCCAGGTTAAAAACAAATGACTGTATGCTCTACGTTTGAAAAAATTCACTTATAATAGAACATCTTTTATGGATTATTTAAAAGCAGAAATGTGGGGGAAAAAACTGTTCTATGTAAGTGTGTATGTATACACTATGTCAAGTTTTTAGTGTTTTATTTTTTTTTTTTGCGTTTTTCTATGACAGGATAGTATAGATATGACAGGAAGTGAGTGGGAGAGAGAGATGAGGAGTAGGAACGGAAAAGGTCCACGAGGCGGGATTCATCTCAGGACACCCAAAGTTCAACTGCGCCAAATGTCGGCACACTGGCCACAAGGCTATCGGTGCCTACTTGAGTTAGTTTTTTAAAGAAATTAATACTTTTATTTCACCAAAAGAGACAAAAAGACATTTGTTACAAAATATTTCTATTTCAAATAAATGCTGTTCTTTTAAACTTTCTATTCATCAAAGAATTCTTTAAAAAATGTGTCACGGTCATCACAAAATATTAATCAGCATATTAATCAGTTTTCAACATTGATCAGAATATTAGAATGATTTCTGAAGGATCATGTGACACTGAAGACTGGAGTAATGGCTGCTGAAAATTCAGAAAATTTTACTTGGGTAAACGTACCTATTAACCTCTACACTGAGACATTTTTAGTGCACAAGATATTGGTTTCAGTACAAAAAGTTATGTTAAAATAAAAGATTAAGCTCTCACACAAAAATATTTAATTTAATTTTAAATGACAAAAGCATTTCAATTAAGATAAACATCATTAAATGCAAAAAGTCCGGCTGTGCTTAATGGGTACATGTTTGTACCCTTTAAGCACACCCCTGTTCCCATTAAGCTCACATCATGTTTTATTAAAAATTCTTGTTTATTTTAAACAACCTTTTTAAAGAATAATTAAACATTTTTTATCTTTATTTTTTAACTTAAATTTTTTATTGAAGTTAATCACAAAAAAATAACAGAACACAGAAATCAAGCAACAAGGCATTCAATTTGATCAGTTATATGTTCATAATGAAATGTCATTTAAGCACATTGCAACATCTAGACTAGTCCATGTTCAGCTAAGTAACACATTCAAAAATCAAATAAAACAAATCAATAAAACATTTCATTCACGGGGATGAACACAGAAACTAGCCTCATTATGAAGCCTCTTATTAAATGAATGTCAACTTATCTATAGTCTCTTATGGCTGGAATACACTACACAATTTTTGCCCTAATTTTCCACTGATTTACAGTCTGGAGAAGTTCACAGTAGTTGCCAAAGGTCAGAGCCAGTCTGCAGATTTGAGTTGACAGAATCTATAGAAAATCAATTAACTTAACTTAAAGTGATAACCAGTTAATATTTAAAGTCTTTACATAGACGTTCAATGTCCCTGTTGAAAAAACCAGCATATGCTGGTTAGGTATGTTTTGACCCTTGTATGCTGGTTTAAGCTGGTCCTTTGCTGGTTTATGCTGGTCTTTTGCTGGTTTAAGCTGGTCCTTTGCTGGTTTATGCTGGTCTTTTGCTGGTTTAAGCTGGTCCTTTGCTGGTTTATGCTGGTCTTTTGCTGGTTTAAGCTGGTCCTTTGCTGGTTTATGCTGGTCTTTTGCTGGTTTAAGCTGGTCCTTTGCTGGTTTATGCTGGTCCTAAACCAGCAAAGGACCAGCATAAACAGTGACGGCGCTACACCGGGACTAGGGGGGGCTATAGCCCTGTCAGAATTTTGAATAGCCCCGGTTTACTCTGACATCATCAATATCATTTTTTTTCTTAGCACCCCCACATATTGGTCTATGCTGGTTGTGTCAACAGGGGTGGAAGACCTTAATGGGAGCAGAAACAATTTTGAATACATTTCATGTAATATTTATTAAAATGACAAGATTTTGCTAAATATATAATCTAGGTCATGTATTAAGTTCATACATATTTTATTAGGAACAACTATTAACAATATCTTTGAAATTATACTTTTTCTTATTGATGTCCCACTGAAACGATGTGATTTTCATAGTAGTGTACCCTTTAAGCTCACCTTAAAATAATATGAATTCTTTAAAAAAATACTGCAGTTTAAAACCACAGACCAGCAATAAACTATCAATTTATAATATTATGGATGTAAAAGTAC